TAGATGGTACTGGGTCCTGCTATGAGGGCAGGGGACTGTACTCAATGACTTCTTGAGGTCCCTTTCAGTTCTAGAGTTCTATGATTCTATAAAGCACCAATATATACAGGCTCCCAGCACTGTTAGCTACTCCCCTTGTGAAGGTGGTTTGGCTCCAGTGCTGCCATGAGGACACTGCTGTGGCTGGACTTTAAACTTGGCAGTGTAGACAAAGCCAGAGTATCACCCGAGGCTGAAACCTGAGCTGCAGGGATTCAAATCTCCAGCTGAGGGGAGGTAAGACTCTTGAGTTAATTTAATTTACTATGGGAGCACAGGAAAGGTCAACATTCCACTCTCCTATCAGTTGAATGCAGGGTAGATGACCCCAAGTTTTAGCTTCCTGCAGTACCACATTCACAGTTCTAAAGTTTGCAAAGTCCTCCAGAAAGAGGGACATCAGGACCAAATCATTCGAACATGGGAAGAAATATCAAACAAGGAGAACTTGATGTTGATTTTATATATCACAGAGCGCAGTAAAAGATATTGGGATGATTTGGAGATTTGATTTGGTTTACAATTCACCTTTCATGCCTCTTCCTATTAGGTTGTTATCAAAGCACTACCAAAGCTTGTATGCAACTGCAAATGTTGCTATGTAAGTTGTGACTTCTCAAAACATTTGATGAGAGGTTATTAACATCCACAAACAAAAGAAATAAGGCCCCCAAAACACCCTAACTCTGTACTACTAAATGTTTATTTATTAAGTTGCTATTTCTCAATGTTGGATGTAAACAGCATCAGCTTGAATTTAAATCTTACTGAAGTCAATAGAATTGTTTGTGAGGGTTCCCTAATGCAGATTGGCTGCACCTAGTTTTCTGAAAGGTTCAGTTTATAGTTGACTGGAAAAACTATTTTCAAAACTTAAAATAATAAAACTGCAATATTTTAAAAATAAAATCTTAGATTCTGCAGAATACAAAAAGGGACTAAAAGGGAATCAGATCTTGCCCTATTGTTTTCTGCTGCTCTCCCTTACATGCTGAAAGCCATTAAGATTCCCAAGGACAGGAATAGTTAAATTGTGCAATATTACTTAACTTTCAAGGTTTCCTGAGATAGCTCTTAGATTCTTCCAATAGTGGAGAAAAATGAAGACATAATATATTATGACTACCATTCCACCAGCTGTTATCAGAACTGTACAGACTTCTGCACCAATGTTGCATTATGTACACTGTTTACACAGTGAAGGAGGGACAAGTTCAGTTTTTTCTAATGCTTTCTTTTTAAAGACAGATAAGTCACTAAAGGTTCTATTCAGAAAGGCATATATAAGGTCATTGCATGCGTACTGCATAACAAGTTAGTACAGCACATTTCTTTCAGGATAAACAATTAGTGAAAATCAGCTATGAAATCTCTAAATGTTCTACCGTATGTTTTGGAATTAAGTAAGCAAAACAATTTTTACACTATTTATAATGGTGCCCCAACAGAATTCAAAACACTTGTCATTCTAACTCTCTCCCTTATTCTCTTTGCTAAAATCTCTTTTCATTAAACTTGGGACTATTCTCTGGTCTTTCTTCCTTCTTAAGTATGTCTATACTGTAGCGCAGGGCTACTCAACTTTGAAAGCCCCGGAGGCCACAATGATACTCACAGCACATGCCACGAGCTGCAACTTTAGTGCAGTTGCATATAGATGCAAACATATATGCAAATAGATTCCTTCACACTGACAGGCAAGAATACAAAGATTAAGGGAAGATCATACAACACAAAGGCCCCATTCAAGTCAGTTCTGTTGATATTAATAAAATGCAATATTTAGCCACCCGCAGGCTGTGTGTTGAGCCCCATGTAAACCCAAACCGCACCGTGGGCCATGGCCGCAGGCCGCGTGTTGAGTAGCCCTGCTGTAGCGCATGTCATATACTGCTGTGACGCAGGCAGCGTAATCACTCTTTATCACCAGGGGAAAGCTCTCCCAGTGATTTAAAAAAACAAAACAAAACCACACACACACTGAATGGTAGCTTTATTGCCAGGAGCGCAGTCTATATTGGCACTTTTCAACATTAATGGTTAATTACCCATACTGTGGAAATAATGCAAACATTTAAAGTCTCAGTATGCCTAGTTTCAATTCCAGCCACTGGATTGCATTATATAGACTAGACTGATAAGTCCTTTATCAAATATTTGATTTCCCATGAAGGTATTGACTGTGATCTAGTCACTCCTTCACTTTCTTTTTGTTAAGGTAAATTAATTGAGCTCCTTTAATCTATCACCATAAGACAAGTTTTCTAATCCTTTAAAATAATTCTCGTGGCTCTTCTCTGAATCCTCTCCAACTTATCAAGATTCTTCTTGAATTACAGATGCTAAAATACCATAGCATTCCAGCAGCAATTTCACCAGAGCCAAATAAAGTAA